CTCCCACGCGGTTCTGGTGAGCTAAGAAAATGTTTATCTCCCTGAGCCTGGCCTTCATAATGCCATTCCATCACATCAGAGGCCATATTCCCCGAGGGGCAATCCGTCAGGGACCTGAGATGTTAATGGGTGGGTTAAGTTCCCCCCGACTTCTACCTCTGTTCCTGCTAAATGTTCTTCTTTCCCACTTGCATAATTTGAGCCAAGGCCCATGGGCAGCCTGTCCCCAAAGGGCAAGTTATTTATTTATTTAATCAATTTATGCAGCCACCCATCTTACAATGGCAACTCTGGAGGTGTACACAGGATCAAAACCAAAGAACCAGGCTATTTGAGGGACTGTGTGTCTCCAGTGGTTTCTGCTCACCCCGCCAGAGCTAACCAAGTGGATATGATCTGGATCCCGTCCATCAAGCAATGTCATCTTGCCGGACCCAGCAGCGCCTGCCCTATGGAATACCATCCTTACAGAGATCCAGATGGCCCCAACCGTGTTAGTCTTCCATAAGGCTTTAAAGACTTGGCTGTTCCCTAGGCTTCTGGGTCGGGAGGCTGAGCAAGCTCTGATGGTTAACTGGCTTACTGTTCTATTCTTTGGAAATGGATTTATTTTTGCAACCTCAGACATTTATTATTTAGATTGTTTTGTTGCTGTTGTTGGCTTAAGCCCTTGCCATGAGACGGGTGGCTGTAGAAGTCATTTAAACAAACACAATTTAAATATACAAACAAAAACAACAATGAATAAAGAAATACAGGTAGTCCCTGGTTAAGGACCACTCACTCAACGACCGTTCAAAGTTATGATGGCGCTGAACGAGGGGGACTTATGACGGGTCCATGGAGTTGAGGCCATTGCGGCATCCCTGCTATCATGTGATTGTGATTTGGGCATGTGGCAACTGGCTCGCAATTATGATGGTTGCAACGTCCCACCAGTTGCGACCTTCCCAGCCGGCTTCCCACAAGTCAAGTCAATAGGAAGCCAGCAGGGAAGGTCGCAAGACATTCCTGTAAGTCACTCGCAGTCCCATGGCCTTTGCTGCTGAGAAGCCCAGCTATGGAGGATGAGATGCTGGGGATCTTGCACGCTGTAGTGCATGCACGTCTGCAGCAATCCTGCCTGCAGCGCCCCCTCCACCACCCGCCAGCAGGCAACCCTGGCCCCAATGCGCTCACACAGCACCACTGTGCCCACCTGTGCACTCCCCCACACCTGGCAGGATCCACACTCAGACCCGCCATGCTTGCATTGCACTGCAGCAGCCACTTACCCGCCCGCCGGCCTGCTGGCAAACCGCCTGGGACTTGCGACTTCCTGCCGGCTTCCCCATGGACTTCGCTTGTTGGAAGCTGACAGGAAATCTCGAGGACTTCCTCGCTTAACGACAGCAATGGGGACTGCCGGGATTGCCGTCGCTAAGTGCTGTGGTCACGTGACGTTGCGTTTTACGGCCAGATCGCTTAGCGATGGAAATTCCGGTCCCAATTGCCGTTAAGCGAGGATGACCTGTAACGGCAGTGCGGGACAACACCACCTCTGAGCGTAAAACCACAAAACCAGAGCAATGGGCTCGCTTAACCTCCTGGCCCCAAGCCTGAGGGAACATGGAGGTCTTCAGTGACGTACAAATGCTAGCAGAGACAGGGCCCCACATATCTTGGGGGTTGTAGCTCTGCAGGCAGGTGTTGAGACAGAGGAAATGTGCTTCTAGGGCCTTGCCAGATGACGCTGTTTAATAGATGGGACCCGGAGCATGCCTGCCCGGTTGGATCTAATGCAGTGTTTCTCAACCATGGCCCCTTTAAGATGTGTGGACTTCAACTCCCCCCAGTTCCCCTCCCTCCCCCCCCAGGGGGGGGGGCGGGGGAGCTGGCGGGAATCAAGCGTCCATATTGGGTATGAAAAGGAGACAGGA